GAGAAACTGCAACCACTGTGATACACTTTGGGTTCCTTCAGAAGGATGATCAACAGGGTTCGTGCTCAGTGAGCATGGGGAGAACTTTACTGAAATGGAGGAAGCAAGAAGCTATCCAGATGTCTAGTATCTTCATCTTCTGTAACCTAAAGCTGCTGACTTTCATCCCACAGCCTGTGATAGCCCAGTAATGCAGAGTAACTTCAGAGCTTGGGATGGAGAAAGTAGGTATTTCCAAACTCACTCCCTACTTCACGGAGTTATCCCGTCTTAGCTTTGTTGATGACGCCTTGCTATAAGACCTGATCTTTTCCTCTTTCTCACAGCAAACAGACCTTGGTCCATAGCTCTAAAATTGATTTGGCTTCATGTTTCTTCAATTTTAATGGTTGCCAAAGACGTTTTGTCTTTTTTTTTTTTTTTGCAAACACTTCTACACTTTCTCCGTCTTTGATGTACTTCCCATGTCCAGCCCCTTCTTTTACTAATCAACCCCAAGAGAAGGGACTTGTCTTATGTCTATCAGAGCAATAATTCTCGACTGTACAAAAATTATTCTGAATTTGATTTGTAGTTATCAGAATTTAAGGTACAGGCTTCAGAGGTTCTATAGGAATTATCTCTCCATCTCTCCACCTCATAGTGTTCATGTCAGGATTAAATAAAAGGTGACAAAGAATCCCCCATCATTCCTGCCAGAGAATATGCATTTACTACTATTATTAATACTGTCTAGGTGATATCAAGAAAGGCAAATATTAAAACTTGGAAAAATAAATATATATATTTTTATCTCAGATTAATATGAAAGTACAAATGTTTGGGTTACATTGTTTTCATTTTTTTTTTTTTTGGTTGATTAGTTCTAATTTTATTTATTTATTTTTTCCTGCATCTATGGCTCTGTTTTATTGTCTCTTCTTTTTCATGGGCTTTACTTTTTTATATTTACTTATTTTTTATTAAATCATAACTTTGTACATTGATGCATTTATGGGGTTCAGGGTACTGCTTCGATATACAATATGAAATGTTTACATTGAACCAAGTTACACATCCAGCACAATTATACTCATTT